ATTCTTTGTTCTACTATCTAATCTACTATTGATTCCTTCTAGTGTGTTTTTCATTTTATTATTGTATTCATTATTTTTGACTCATTCTTATTTATGGTTTTTATATTCCTTTTGTGTTTTTGAAGCTCTCACTAATGCTAAGTTTCTTGAGCATTCTTACAACCATTGTTTTGAACTTTATATCTGGTCAATTACTTGCCACCATATCAGTTAGTTCTTTTTCTGGAAATTTCTCCTATTCTTTCACTTGGGGCATGCTTCTTTGTCTCCCTGTTTTATCTATTGCTGTTTATCTCTGTTGTTCCTATGTATTACATAAATCTGCTATGTCTCCCAGACTTGGTTGGATGGCCTTATATAATACATGTCCTGTGGAGCCCAGTGTCCCTGTTTATCTGAGGTGGGTGCTCCATCAATGTCCCTTCTTTGGATCCTGGGAGCCCTCCTGAAGGTGAGTTCTGATTGTTTTTGGTATGTCCATGGATGAGGTTGACTCTCAGGCTATGTGGGCAATGAGGATTGACCTTGACCATAGTGTGTGTGTTGGGGATGACCCCTTAATGTGGGTTTTGACCCAGCTGGGTGTGGTGCCTGCCAAGACTGCCCTTTGGGTGTGCTGCTTGTGGAGCTAATTAGGTTGTGCTCTGATGTGATCTGAAGACAGCCACCACAACCCAATTGTGTTGGTTCTGGAGCTTGTTGGGAGAGACTCTTATGTGTGTCAATGTCAGACACTGCCTGTGACTGGTCCTGGGCTACTTGTTAGGAGTCACAAAGTAATCCATGTTTGGTAGCTGCCTATGCTGGGCCTAGGTATATGGAGGAGCTGTCAAGCTGTGTACTAAGGCCAGCTGCCACCAGTACAGGCCTGTTGTAGGTCAGCGAAAGGCCCAAGGCACCCTGAGACCCGCTGCTATCTTCTGGCTGCTTATATAGTGCAGCCACTGAATGAACCTCAGGTGGTACACAGTTGCATGAGTTAGGTTCTCTGGGAGTCACTAGAAAAGGACAAGTGGTATTCACCAGATTAACATAGATTCAAACTCAGTGCCAGTGATGGTCTTAGGCATTCAGCAAATGCCTCAGAGTACATTCAGACAACTTGCCATCCACCTTTGGCCTTCAGACCTTTGTGTCGATGATGCAGGGTCATTTGGGAGTCATCAGGGTAGAGCCAGTAGAGTTCATCAGGCTAGATCACATTGGAGGGAGAGCTCTGCACAGGAACGGTGGTACCCAAGGGGCTTGTTAGAAGATGGTCTTCACCCTATGAACACAGAACTTAGCCTCTCCCTGTGCACCTCCAGCACCATCCTTAACCCACTTGGAATTCTCCAAGAGTTTTTAAGAGAGGCAACGATTTGAGTGAAGATTGATTGCCATCAGCAAAACCCACAGCTCTGGGAGAGATGGTTAGGGTGGGACCTCAGGAAGACTTCATCGTGGAGCTAGTGGAGCTCCTAAAGTTAATGTCATATGGGGAGAGGACCCCACACAGGATCAGTGGTGCATGTTGGGTGTTTGGGGAAAAGGGACATTGCTCTAAAGCCACACAGCTCAGTCTCTGTCTGTGTGTCTCCGGTACTCTCATACTTGCCTGGAATTCCTCAAAAGTTTTTTTTTAAGAAAGATTGCAATGCAGGTTTGGGTTGGCTGCTGCAGCAGAGCCCACAGCCATGAACAAACTGGTGATGGCAGGGCCTCAGGGAGACTCCAGAGTGGATCCCTGGCCAATGCCTTGTTGGGTAAGTGGAAGACTAGTAAAGATGGTGTTAGTTGGTGGTGTGGGAAAGAGACTCAACACAGAGATATTGATGACATCTCTCCAGCTCTCTGAAGCCATAAAATTCAGTCTCTCCTTATATGACTCCAGCACCGAGCCACCTTCTCTCTGCCCAGGGTGAGTGCCTTCGAGTAAGATTTTGTGTGCAGTCCTTGTGTTTCCATCAGACTTCTGTCTTACAGCAGATATTATGTGGGCTCCTCTTTCCAGCACTGGTGCTCTGGGCTGAACAGCCCAGCTTAGGATTGAGAGCGCTTGCTCCTCTGCAGCTCAAATAAACCTCCAGATTCTTAACCAAGGCATGTGGGTGCAGAGCCAGCTAATTTCATATCTCTGCCCCTCGTACCAATGTCATCATTGCTTCTTCTGCATATCCTTAGTTATAGGACTTCTGATAAGTTAGTCTTCACATATGTCTCCATGTTGATTTTCCTATAATTTAGTTGTAATTTTTATATGATTATGGGAGGAGATGAGTACAACTTTCACCTACTCCACCATCTTGGATTTTTAGAAGTTGTGTGTCATCTAAAAATTTGTTTCAAATTTCTCAGCCTTCACAACACATTCTAATTCTCTTGTTTAGTACACTGCTCTTACATGACAAACATATAAACCCCCGACTTTGTCTTTATTTTCTGAGCATCAGCCACAGGTTTGATTAAAACATTTAGCTCCTGACATTCTTCTTCTCAATGTATATTGCACCAGAGGAAACAGCTATACTGCCACTACAGAGAAGACCCATTTTCAGTTTTAAGAGTTCTTTTTCTAGTTTAGATATGTCTTATCAGATATGTGATTTACAATGTTTTCTTGCATTCTATTAGTTGTAATTTCACTTTCTTGATATAGTATTTGCAGCACAAAAGTTTTTCAAGCCTCTATCCTATATAATAAAGAGCTATATGCAAATGGTCATCATGCCTCTCACTGTCATACCATAAAGGCTCAGATATTCAACACTAGGGAGAGAAGAATGGGACCATTCAGGCACAAATGAGCTTGAGAGAGAGGAATGAGGACCAGCCAGGCTGCAGCCCAGGAGAGGGACAAGCCACCTGCTCCATGGTCCCGGGTGCCTGCAGCTGCAGCCCAGGCGAAACCACCCACCCATGGTCCCTTGTGGCTGTGGCTGGCCAGGGCGAAGCCAGCTCAGGTCCTGGGTGCCTGCAGCAGGCCAAAAGGAGGGAAACCTGGATCCTGGGTGCCTACAACTGCCCAGAGGAGGGAATTCTGGGTCCCAGGTGCAGGGTGAGGCAGAGGTGGTTAGGGGCAACCCTGCCAGCAGAGGAGAATTTAGAGGCAATCAGGCCCGTAGTAGAGTAGTTTGGGGTGATGAGGAAGGCAGGCAGAGGTGGTTATGAGTAATCAGACAGGCAGAGGTGTTTAGGGGCAATCAGGCAGGCAGGCAGGCAAACAGTTAGGAGCCAGTGGTCCCAGATTTTGAGAGGCAGTCAGACATCCCCCGAGTGCTTCCTAATTGGAGAGAGTGCAGGCCAGGCTGAGGGACCCCCCTTCCCATGCATGAATTTTATGCACTGAGCCTCTAGTTTAATATAATCATGCAAGTCTATATTTCAGCATTTTCTTCTAAAATAATATTAAATTTGGTACTTTCAATAGAAGATTTGGCCTTGTAATTCATTGACAAAAGTGAGGCCCTCAGAATGGAATTTCTCTATTCTCAATCTTTCCTAACACACAGCTATTGATCTACATTGGCATTTATTCTCATCTCCTTTCCCCAATCTGTTCTCTTAGAATGAGGAGTACCTCATCTAGTCAAAGCCAATCTCTATTGGGTTCTTGATCCTATCCTCTCTTTCTACTCCCATGACCTTCTTCAATCACTTGGTCCCCCTTTCTCCTATATCTTTACCATTTACCTCTGTATCTTCCTTCAGATTATGAACCAGTTGGTTCACAGTTTTGTGTTTGAAGAAAAACAAAACTTCTCAATATCTATATCTTCCAAATACATATCTTCAGCCATGATTTCTAAATTCACTTGGATGCTGTACAGATGTATTCTAACTCAACATATCTAAAATTGAATTCCTCTTATAATTACACATCTGCTCCACTCTCTATTTCCATTCTTAAATAATAGCACCATCATCTACTACTTTACACATCAGGTTCTCCTCGGTACACACCTCCCAGTACCAATAAATCATCTTGGCCTGATGACTTTTACCTCCCCTATGTATCACAGTCTGGATCTTGATATCACAAACAAATGCTTTAAATTAATTTCTTAGCATCTTTCCCTTCAAATATTGTATAAACCCATAACTGGTCTTTGTGCCTCTAGTTCTGCCACCATTAAAATCCTTCATTCTTAATACATCAAGAGTAATTTAAAATTGAATAGAAAATTAGTATTATTATTTTACAACGAGTTTACATGACCTTTGACAACTCATTTTTCCTGAGCTTGAGATTTCTTATATGTAAAACGAAAATGATACCACTTATTCTTAGAGTTATTGTGAAAATAACAAAGCAGAAACACAGCAAATAGGAGTCCTTATATGATAGTGAGATCACATTATCTTGTAAAGTATCCCTGAGTCTGCATTTCTGAGTCTGTAAAACAACAAAACAAAAACAACAACAACAAAAAACTGGACATACTGTATAAAAGCTGTAAGAAGCCTGACAAGTCAAGTGCTCATTGGAGAGCTCTTAAGAACAAAAACTAAACATTTTCTATAATATGAAATTTTAAAATTGAAAGAAATAATAAATACAAAGTGCTTAATAGATAGCTGGTAAATAAGCATTGGATGAAAAGTTAGAAAATGAGCAACAATAAACCCCAAATAGAAACAATTATGCTGACAAATAGATTCTTCTTACTGGTTCAGTGTTGTTCTCTGCTTGTTTGCTGGCATGTTTTTGGTTTTGTTTTTGTATCCAAATCTGTAATTATTCTATTCAAAAGTGTGCTTTCATTGATGATGATTGGTGGTGATGGTGTTTAAGTTTTGTCATTCTAAAGGCTAATCACCAGTGAGATTATAGGATGACCCAGAATGTCTGCTTTCAAATTCAAAGTAATTAGTGTTCCTCAGATGTTAATTCTGTTGACTGTCAGTTGTCAGAGGTCCCCTTGGCTTCCAGCTTCCCAATCATGATATTTCTCTTTTCTTGCTGATTACAGGCTGGCATCCATCCCAGTTTCTCATCTGAGATTCAGCAGAAGATCCGGATGGAGGAGGACAATACTCAGAAAGAGGAGCCCCAGGAGGATGGAGCTAGTGATGAGCAACACTTAGGTGAGAACTCCCTGGGTTTGCATTTCGTGCTCAGAGATTTTCAATAATTACTTATGAGTATTTACTGTCTACCATACATATGGAATAACTGAGCATTGTTCAGCTAGCATAAACCTAGGAGTCCAGCAAGCAGCAGGAAGTCAGCCTAAGGTTGGCTACTCTCACTGAAGACATGATGAGTTTAAACCAGATGCTGAATGGCATGCAGGCCAAAGCAGCTGGCATGGCAATATCTTTTTCAGTAACTCATCAGTCATTAAAAAATCAAAGCTCACACACACAAAAAGAGTAGATGGAACAAATAAAGAAAGGCATCATAATTTTAATCTCTCTAGAAGAGAAGCTGATCCTGTAGTCCTCTTTCAGGAGAGACGAGTCTGCAACCCAATCACTCCCAATTCACAGGGCTTGTGCTGGTTGAGTCTTTATAATGTGTTTCCAGCATTCAAAACAGAATAAATAGGCTCATAAAATTTATATTTCCCTCATTATTTTTTATTATGCCTCAGGTGGTCAAGTAATTGGGGTTGGGGAGGAGGTGCTCAGGGATATGCTGGGAACCTGGTGTCAGGTAACCTCATTAGTATTTCCTTAAACCAGCTCCTTGTCTCTGCACTGCAAAGTCCTCTTTATTAAGGGAGTGTGATTTCAAGGTAGATTAAAATTTCCATTTAATTATTGTATGAAGTTCTAGACACAGAAACAAAAATAGTTAAGATAGAAATCTCCTGTATTTATATTAGTAAGGGTTCTCCAGAGAAACAGAATCACTAGAACACACACACACACACACACACACACACACACACACACACACACATGCAAACACTGAATGGGGCAAAAGTAGGTCTACAGTTGTTTATATGGAAAATGAACATGATACAATAACTACAGAAGTGTATCATGATTGACACTTCTTCTCTTTTCAGGAAGAGGAGAGAGGAAATGGTAAGCCACTAGGTGGAAACATAACTTGGAGAAACCAAATGACTTATTTTTTGTTTATTTGTTAACTAGAGGCCTGGTGCGTGAAATTTGTGAATGGGCGGGGTCCCTCGACCTGGCTGGGAATCAGGGCCAATTAGGTTCCCCACCTCCTCCTTCCCTCTCAGCTTGCATGCTACCACCATGCAGTTCTCTGCCTCCCCACCTTCCAACCTTCCCTCCTCCTCCTTTCTTTGCTGTCCATGTCCATCACCAACAAACCCCGGTTCCCTGTCCCAGCCCAGGGCCTGGCCCCAATTGGGTGATTGGGACCTGCTGGCCAAGGGGAGGGACCAGAGGCCAACCACCAGCATGGCAGGTGGGCAATAGGCCAATAGGGGCCTGTGGACTGGGGGGAGGAACCCAGGAGGTTGGGTGCCAGCCCAGAGGAGGGAGCTGGCCCTCGGCTCCCCTGGAAAAGGGGCCACGTCCACTGCCACCCACCCCTGGTTTCCAGTACCAGCCCGAGGGTCCGGCTCTGATTGGGCGATCAGGGCCTGCAGGCTGTAGGGAGGGACCAGATGTTGGCTGATAGGCCCCATCAGTGATTGAGGCCTGCGAGCTGGGGGCAACTCCTGTGTTGAGTGTCTGCTTTCTGGTAGTCAGTGCACATCATAATGACCAGTCTTTTTGGTTGTTTCAGTCACTCCATGGTAATGGTCACTTAGGCTTATATATATGCTAAACTGAGGATTCTGGATTTATCTCATCCTAAAGGCATGGAAGAGTCACTAAAGAATTCCTAAGATTGAAGTGACAAGGTTAAATTTCAATATTTAAAACCAATTCATGTATTCAACAAATATTTTATAGTGTCTGCCATGTATGAAAATCTGTGGGAGGCTCTGGAGATATAATGGTCCCTAACCTCACAAAGCTTAGAATTTAGTGAGGAGATAAGAAAAAAAGACAAATATAATAATTACAAACTTTAATTAGTGCTATTGAGACACAGACTAATTTAGAAGCTTTATCATCCCAGTGTCTGCCTATGGCTGCCCCACCACCCATCACATCCCTACCATAAGTGCAAGCTTCAAATATTGAGTAATCACTCAGCAACTACCCAAACCCCATTACCTCTCTGAGCCAAATACATAGGGTCTTGGCTTTAATACCCCTTGACTGTATGAATCTTACCTTTCCCTTTTGGCCCTTCCATCTTCCATTGCCTTGGGTGAGCCTTGCCTATCACACACCCAATGTTCCTCCAGCACCAGGCCTAGTGAAATTTTATCTTCCCTGACACCGGTCTTGGTCCTGGCTCTCTCTAGGAATGGAAGTTAAGAATAATACCAGGTGGACTGGCACAAGAACAGACATATAGACCAATGAAATAGATTAGGAACCCAGAAATTGACCCAAACCACTGTACTCAATTAATATTTGACAAAGGAGGCATGAATATACAGTGGAGTCAAGACAGTCTCCTCAATAAATGGTATTGAGAAAATTGGACAGATACATGCAAAAAAATGAAACTAGATCACCAACTTACGCCACACACACACACACACACACACACACACACACACACACACAAAACAAAAAACAAACAAACAAAAAAAAACCTCAAAATGGATAAAGGTCTTAAACCTAAGACAGGAAACCATAAATATACTAGAGGAATCTACAGGCAGTGAAATCTCATACTGCTCTTAAGGCAATGAAAACTAAAGAGAAAATAAACAAATGGGACTACATCAAAATAAAAAGTTTTTGCACAAGAAAAGAAACCATCAACAAAACAAGAATGCCCACTGTATGGGAGAACACATTTATCAAAGTTATCACCAATAAAGGTTTAACCTCCAACATTTACAGGGAACTCATACAACTTAATAAAATGAAGGTAAACAATCCAATAAAAAATGGGCAATGAACCTAAATAGATGCTTTTTGAAAGAAGACAGAAGGAAGGCCAAGAGACATATGAAAACATGCTCGAAGTCACTAATTATCTGAGAGATGCAAATCAAAATGACAATGAGGTACCATCTCACACCTGTCATAATGGCTATCATCAACAAATCAACAAATCAACAAATGACAATTGCTGGCAAGGATGCGGAGACTGTTGCAGCCAGTGTGGAGAACAGTAAAAACTAAAAATGAAACCCCCATTTGACCCAGTGATACCACTTCTAGGAATATACCCCAAGAAACTAGAAACACCAATCAGAAAGGATATATGCACCTCTATGTTCATAGCAGCACAATTTACAATACCTAATATTTGGAAACAGCCTAAATGCCCATCAGGAGAAAAGTGGATTAGAAAACTATGGTACAGCTACACAATGAAATACTATGCTGCTATAAAAAGAGAAGAAATTCTTACCATTTGCAGCACCATGGATGGAACTGGAGTGCATTATGTTAAGTGAAATAATCCAGGCAATGAAAGAGAAATACCATATGATCTCACTCATTTATGGAAAATAAAGAACATTATAACCTAATAAATAAAAAGATAGGTACAGAGACAGTGAAGCATCAAACCTACTGTCAAACTACAACTGGAAGGCTAGGGAGTGTTGGGGAGGAGAGAAAGAGATCAACTGGGAGGAGGGAAGATGGCGGAAGAATAGATGGGCGGTTTCTGAGCCCTCTCCTGAAGCAGAAAGAGAGAGCAACTGATGGTCTTGAGCTGTGAGTGTTTATTAGCAAGCTGGGAGACAGCGAACACCAGAAGAAACTGCTGGGGGGCTGCTGACAGAGGTACCCCTCACAGGGAAGCACCCACGCGGGCTGCGTCCCTGCCCGGAGCTACCTGCCGGCTTGGATAGGGAAACCTTGCCATCTTGAGAGGAAGATAGGATCGTGTCAGAGGCCTGAATATCAACAGCCGCAGCGACCAACAAGCAACTGTGACCCCCAGAACGCGGATCCCAGGCGGCGCGAACACCTGGCCTCACAGGAGTGCCCCACTGCTCGGCGAAAAGGTCAGATTTCGCGGGGAGAGGGTGGAGCGCACTCGCGGCGAAAACAAAGCCTGCGCGCAGAACGCGGAAGCTGGAGGACAAGGGCGGCGATTACAAGTAGAAGCCCCGCTGTTGGGCGGGTGTCACCCGTGAAAGTGGACGGGGCTCCTAACAGGGGAGATATCTAAAGAGCAACGCATTTGGATCTGGCGCGGAGGGGTATAGGAGAGTTGTGGGAGATTGAGGTTGCTCGGACCTGCCCTCTCCCCCCTCCGTAGTTCCTGCTTCAGAGAGGACTAAAAAAAAAAAAAAGCTGGAGAGGCTCTAGAGTCTGGGAAGTCAACCTAGAAACACTGCCCCCAGAGGCTAATTCACAAATTGACTCTAGTGTAATAAAAACAAAGCAAAACCTGCCTAAAAATCAGGACTGGATCATAACAATAGAGGAAGCGAATGACCTTCATTACCGCAAATTTTATTTAAATTTTTTAAATTTTATTAATTTTTAAATTTTTAAATTTTTGTTTTTTATTTTTGTTTTCATTATTTGCAACGTTTACTCAAGAAACTATTTTTTTTCTTTTTCCTCACTTGATTTTATCTTTATAATTACTACATTGTACTACTACTAAGTTACCTTTTTCATCTTATTTTTTTTGTTTATTTTTATTATTTTTATTTCATTTGATTATATATATATATATATATATATTTTTTTTTTTTATTTTATTTCAGGATTACTGTTCTACAGGCTTTATCTATCTTTCCTTCTCCAACGCTTTATTCTATCTCAACCTATCCTTTATGCCTTCACCCTCTTTCCGATATTTTCCTTTGGTACCCCGTTTATCTTAACCCTTTCCTGCTCTAGATTTTCCCCATTCCTTCTGTCTACCCCCTCCTAAAATTTCACCCTACTTCTATATATCTAATTTCCAACTACTTGCTCCGAGCCCATTCACACCTCCCTTGCAGTTGTCCTAAAAACAAAACAAAACAAAAGTCTTTCTCTCTAACACTTTGAAGTTGTATGTTGAATGTTAACTATACTGAAGTTGTATGCTTTTGTTTATAAGATTGATTTGATATGCT